GGTCATGATGGAGACTCAGACTTTTGGGGGGAGGGGGGGAAATGGGCATTTATTGAAACCTTAAAATCTGTACCCCCATAATATGCCAAAATAAAAAAAAATAAAAAAAAAACAGTATGAGAAGCGGGGGAAGAAAGAAACCTCAAAACAATCAAAGTGGGTACTTTTGCTGAATATATAAAGCAGAATGTGCATCAGTCACTCAAAGATGGACCATATAAACCTGGCATCATCCATCCTGTTTCATTATTTGACAGGTAGTGTAAAACATTTCCTTACGTTTTATGACAGTTTTGCTGATGTGGCTATGCACAACTGCAAGCCTGGGCACTGAAAAGACAAACTGTAAGAATGCAAATGTGTGCAGCACTGAGATAGTTACAATTCCTGAAATTCTTTCATGAACATTTGTTTATTATTATCTTTGACACCCAAGTTTCACCTTTTAGTTTAAATCCATCTATGTTCCATGCTTTGAATTCAGTTCCGATTTAACAAATTAAGTAACTAAAGAAACAAATGCTTAGTGCTGTGCTCCTCAACCCTGGCTGCACATTAGAATCACCGATTGAGCTTTGAAAGTTCTTAATGCCTGGGCCATACCCCAGACAATTAAATCAAAATATGTGGGAGTGTGACTCAGGCAAAAATACTTGCTAAAGCTCACTAGGTGATTTCAATGTTCAAAGAACCACTGCTTTGTAATAAAGCCTGATCAGGTTGGACACATCACAGGGCCTGACAGGTGCCATTTTAAACACAGGTCTCCACAGCCGGGCCACTCAAGCTTCTGTAGGACTTGACTTTTTACTTTTTTAAAAATTTCCTCTCATATATATCGTGGAATGCTGTTCTAAAACCTTTATAAATCTTCTTCAAACTATTATTTCACCTTTACTATCTTCACTCTTAGCAGTATATCTTACTTCCTACAAAAATAATAATAAGGAAGCTATCTGATGTGAAATTCCCCAATTTCCTTCACTTCCTCTTCCTCACTTACCTGTAACAACCTGGATCACTACTTCCATCTCAATTGGCAGAAATGCATCCTCTTTCCTCTCCTAGGACGTTGCACTGGCCCATCCTCCTGTCTCAGCTCGTGTTCCCTTGCTGCTTTTCTTCTCCTTGGCCCAGACTTGCTCTTGGGCTGCCACCCAAATTCTCTCCTTCACTTCTCCCCAAGGTCTCCCACCAGTGACTTCCACTGACCAGTTCCAATAGTCCACTTGCTTGCTCTCCCCACTCCCCACCCCTTTGGGGACACCCTTATTCTCTCTGTCTCAGTTGCACCAACGACACTTCTCAATCAACTCCTTTCTCTTTCTCTGCCTATGCCTTAAGTATTTTTGTTCAATAGAGTGCAACCCTTAGCTAGCTTCCAGTCTCTTCCTGCCTGTTCTCCTTGGCAATCTCATGGCTTCAGTTAATACTTACATGACGTTTGCTTATAACCCAAACTCTCTCCTAAATGCTGGGTTTTTACATTCATTTATAGACATTGCAAAAAGCTCAAAAATCTCTCTGTTTATAACTGCCTGGAACCTTCTCTCACCAACCACTCCTACTCCTATTTTGCAAAACTGAATCTTAAAGGGACATATAAAGCCAAACAAAACAAAAAGTAACAGCATACCAACAAAAAGATTCCTTCCCGCTCTGTTATTTGTGTCTCAATTTCCCCAATCACCTGGTCTGTAAATTGCTGCGTTTCCAGTCAACTCTGAAACCTCCTGACACTTAATGATCTTTTAAATCCATCTCTTTCTCTGCATTCCACTGCCTGAGTGAAGGAACCAATTATCATAGTCTCCTTTCAAAGTGCTACCAGAGGGATTTAGAAAAACACAAGTTTTTTGTATCATGTTTCTGCTTACAACTCTTCAGTGGCTGCCCAGGGCTTCCTGGGCACTGTCGCATCCTGTCTTCCTGTGCGCTGACCCTTCCTTCCTCCAGGGTCCTCACCATCCTTGCAGGCTCCTCACCAGCACAGCCCTCTGCCCATCCCAGCTTGTGCTCCAGCCTTACTGGCACTGACTCTCCTGAGGCCTTTTCTGATACTTCTTATTATCTCTATCCTCCCGCCCGCCAAAAAATTCTACTTATTAAGATTCACACAAAATGTTATGTCTTCTGTGAACTTTTTTCTGAAGGTCATTCTCTTCTACCTCTGCCTCTGATATGGAGTTAGTCACTTCCTAATTTGGGCTCACATAGAGAAGATAATAGAATTTATCACATTGTTTTGTAATTTTTAAAAACATAATTGTAATTTCAACTGTGGAAATAAGCACATCTTTCTTGGATGGATTAAAATACTACAAATAATGAGAAATTTCACTTTTATTATTAGCCTCAATTCCAGCATTACCATGGTTACCATTCTAAAGTGTAAGCTTGTAGACCCTTCACTACAATTTGCTTGTAAACATAGAAAATATTGAATTACATTTTAATGGCGTTATTGCAATATAATTGACATATGATGAACTGCACATATTCAAAGTATACGATTTGATAAATTTTGATGTACGATGTGTATATATGCCTGTGAGATCATCCAAGTCTCCTCCTACCACTTTGTAGTCTGCCTCTCTCAACGTTTCCTGACCTCCAACCTCATGACAACCACTGTTTCTTGTTTTCTGTCATTATGTTTACATTTCCCAAAACTTTATATGACTATATATGGAATCATACGACATATGGTATCTTTTTTTTTAGTCTTCTTCCACTCAGCAAAATTTTTTTGAGTTCATCCATGCTGTTGCATTCCTTTCTATTGCTGAACACTATTCTATTGTACAGATATACTAAAATTTGTGTACCTATTAAACTATTAATTGAAATTTGAGTTGTTTTCAGCTTTTGGCTATTACAAATAAAACTGCTATGAACATTTGTCTGTAAATCTTTGTATGAACACATGTTTTCATTTCTCCTGGGTGGACACCTAGGAGAGGAATGGCTGGGTCATATGGGCCATGTGGTCATATGAGTCTTTTTACGTCTGCTTTATATTATTATT